AAGGTTTCTCCAACATAATTGCACGTCCACAGCTGCACTGAAGTCGGTATACAAAGCCTGACTTCTCCTGTTTAGGTAAAGGGTCCTAAGTCTGTGCCGCACACTGCGTAACGTGCGTCCCAACTTAGGGATAATTTCGCACGGCAGATTAGACGATGGACGATAGCTGGTGTAAAATGAGGTTATTCATCTTCTTTTTCGCAGCTGTCGCCGTTCACCTAGCTTAAAATAGAAGGCTTTGCCAAGCACTTTACATGAGTATAACCGTGAAAAATTAGTTGACTTAACAACCGCACACGAGGTTATTTTGTGCACACAAAACCGGTTTCCTCAATCGGACTGCGGTTGTTTCTGCTATTGCCAGCCGAAGTTGACCCAGGGACTTTGGGTACTTTGGTGGGACCTTGTAAATTACCTTAAAGACTTCGCGTGGGTCCACAAGATGTCCGGTGTCAACCATGTGTGCGAGGATAGAACTGTTTATGCTTTTGGTCTCGTATTTGGCTAGCCATGCCCGGATAGGTTCCCGTATTCTTTTAGATAAGCATCTACTCGTGCGACCGATGTAACCAGCTCCACAGGAGCAAGTAAATGAATAGATACACATAGAAGTGGTCTGAGCTGGCAGCTTATCCTTACCCTCACCGTGCAGTACCGAGTTGGTTGAAAATAACACCCGAATTTTCGCTGCTGGGATGGTTTGTGCTACGGCTTGGTTGAGGCAGTTTTCTTGTCGGCTATTTAATTTCCCTTGGTCTTGTTGTATGCTGTTTTTTGGAGGTAGGTCAACTTGATTAGTTATTTGAATCGCATCAATATTCGACTGAATAACTGGTTCATAACAAAACGATCGGCAGCATTATATCGAAAAGTTCAAAGACACTGTTAGCTTGTCTCTAATTGTCAATGCGATTGCCCTCATACTCCCATTCATACGTCTGACATGCGTCAGGCTTATGCAAACGCCATGTCATCACTGGTAATCACCCCACTGCTGGTTAGTTGTCAGACGTGAAACAATGAAAACTGAGGCTAGTCCTCTCACGTCAGCCAATCTCACGTCACTTAGCAATCCTCCCAGACACATTTGTAGCACATCGTGATATTTTCAAGTGCCTCGGGTTTATTATAGTGAAGCAAGAAGTACGTGGAGGAGCTATCTCACCCTCTCCCATACCGCCAACAACAAGTCACCGCCGAGCCGATGGATGGGATAGGCATACACTGCAAGTTCACAGTGCAGGAAAATGCGTCTGTGCTCACCACATCGTGACCGGGTCCCCTTTACAGACAATATAACCATGGGGGTTAAACGGAATCAGCGCCCCAAGACTCAGTGGGTCACACATATACACATGGGGCAGATTTTGCCTCCGGTAAAAGAAGGAGCAGGAGTGGCAGTGGCAGGAAAAGCAAGCAGGACCAGCAGTTTACTATGTCAATTGCTCACCTCAAACATAATATGGTTAAAATAATAATGACTTTGGTTCAAATCGTGTGTGATACGGCTTTGCATAGGTCAGCAAACCCGTTTTATTGATTGAATGATATTACTTGTTTCAACAGTAATCTTCTTATGTCTATATCTAATTTAGCGAAGTCATAAAC